AACTTGAATGGTGTGTCTGTGGTTTTAATTATTGGGGACTTATGCTGTATATTCTTCACCCAATCAGTTAAAGTGCCTCAGCTTGCCAATAACAGTCAGCCTAACAGTTTCTCGCACTGTTATACGATTTGAACCTGTCCATCAACTTCAGACTTCGCGCTGTTCATTGTATTATGGACTGCTTGGGCCTTCACTGATAGCACCGGTCGGTAAATGCTTGGTTATTTAGCTCCGCCGTATGTTGGTAAACACGTAATAGGCTCCAGTATCCAATAATCTTGGGTCGATGATTCGAAGTGTTTAAGGTTTTACAAAGGCAGTTGAATGTTGCACCTAACTACCAATTGGGTGCAAAGCGGCCTTCAATGCTCGGTCGCAGTACTTTGTAGCATTGGCAGGATTGTCCTAAGGGGCTTGTGTGTCACTTGGGATTGTATTATGTATTCCAGAGCTGCCTAATATTTTGTGAAGGTGAACTTAATACCAACTAAACGGCAAGTACGAGGCTTGGTTTTTACTTTAAGACAGCGTTAACCCGTCGAATGATTACTTATTCTAAAGTTGAGCTTTCCATGGTCTCGGCAGCTTGTTCCTATTGTAAATATCCCGGTTGCTTAATTAGCGTCTCCTCATGAGTTATTGGTAACTTAGAGATGGCTCTTGATTTGAAAACCTTGGAGTATTGGTTTGCAAACCGCCTTGAAAGTGTCACTGAACTATAGTAGGAATTGGTGACGCGACTCCGTTAGTATTCTTAAACTGAAAATACTTGAGACGCTGCCTACTTATGGTGTACTTCCAGAATCTTGTAGATGAAGTGACACGGTTGGTTACTTCCTCCGCAGTACGTTGTCAACTAAGTTTTCAAAGCGCAATAAGTATACTGATGCGGTGTATACTCACCCCTTAATTGGTAGAGAGATGTCTCGTCCCCGCCCAAAGTGATGCTAGCCAAACGAGCCAATCCGTCAGACTTCAATCCATTAGGGCTGACAAGATAAGTGGACATATCAGTGCGTTTGACTTGAAGTATTCGAGTGAAGAGCCTGCACAATGTTTATGTACTTCTGAGGTATGCATTGCAACGGCTGATACTGCTACAGAGCTAGTTGGACTACAGAGTCAAGTGCTGCTTTTAAGTCGAGAAAAACCATTGTCGGACGCTGATAAGCATGCCTGTGTTCTAAAAGTTGACGTGTAGTGAATATGTGGTCGATACAGCCACGACCAAGTATGAAGCCAGCCTGATTTTCCCGTGTTTGCTATGTTAGTCGAACTAATCCCTCTATGTTCACTTATTACTTGTTTGAATCTTCCCATTGATGTTTAGGACTGCAACTGATCAGTCTGACGAGTCTCAAATAGGTTGAAACGCGCGTCTTAGATCCCACTGCTACACACTATCCATCTTTACTTATAATTCCTCTATGGTTGTCACGGGATGATTTTGACATCTCCTTGTATATTGGGACACAGAGATTGTGACCAGTCGGATGGGATTACATCCGTCTCCCAGATTTTAGCCAGAATATTAGTCAACCTAATCGCTAAAATTGGACCACCATAATTAAAGACTTCTGGAGCCGACCCACCTGCTCTTCCTCGTTTCAGATTACTTATAACCTTTTGAACTTCAAGTAGGGTCGGGGGGCCTACTTCAATGTTCCATTCAGGTTTTCTGCGAATAGTGGGTAGTTGTGCAGCAGCTGAAGGCCAGCTAAACTGCTCCTTAAAGTGTTCCGCCCATCGTTCTAAACGTTTGGGTTGAGAGCAGATAAGGGTTCCGTCTTTTTCGGAGATTGTCTCACTTACACTTGACTTCTTAATTCCGGTTTCTTTTATTAGTCTGAATAGTTGCCTACAGCCGCTGCCTTTTCCATCTCTTTTGCTTTCGTTGCCCACCACTGCTCACGATCATTCCTTAGACTTTTAGTTAACCTAGATCTAATTTGTTTACGCTGTTCGTCATGTTCAGAGCCTGATGGGATGAGTTTACACGAATCCATCAGTGAAATAGACCTAGAAGAAATTCATTGAATTTTTGTAACCCTTTGGGTTTAAATTGCTAGATGTTACTGCTGTTTCCACAGCTGTTCGTGTCTTTCCAAGCAACATCTGAGTCAGCCTCGTTTACAGAACTGCCTAAAGGTGAACTCAGTTGTTCCTGGAACTTACTTTTTGCTTTAGAAAACTATAAGATTATGTAACGAAAGCGCTCAGAAAATTGGAAAATAGGGAGTGTATTTGGAAAGTTCTCACCGATTAATCAATGTAAAATAAACTGATACAACAATAACCGTATCGAAATATACTTCATACTTTACTCTAGGTGCCAAGTGGATTCACGACTACCAGTCTTTATCCTTCTCACTTGAGTGGGGTTATATATATGCATATATAACCGTATGTGGTTTCTGTATATAACAAGTTCCACACCTAATCGGCAGAAAGTGGTACAATTGATAAGTTAGCAACTTAATTAGAAGATATATTTTTGAGTTTCAAGTACTAATACCATGCTACAACCGCGGATTGCCAGTGTAACGAATATAGTGATTCCTTCATGAATTCAGTAAAAAGAAGTGTTGTTCTGGCTTCCAGAGAACTCCAACAGATGCTCATAAAGAGCCCCAACCAATCAGAAGCTATGTTACTAAAATAACGAGATCCTGATTGGCTGATTAACACACTGTTCTGGCTTCCAGAGAACTCCAACAGATGCTCATAAAGAGCCCCAACCAATCAGAAGCTATGTTACTAAAATAACGAGATCCTGATTGGCTGATTAACACACTGTTACTATGTAAACTCAAGGTCTCTTAATTACTATAAAATCCCTGTACTGTCTGTACATAAATGAACCTTGCAGTAAAGTGTTTCTCTCATACTCGTGTCTTCTTACTGGTGTTCAAGTCGCTGATTAGTTCTAGCCTGGGGTTATCAGAATAGCTTAGGATCTGAATATAGCGTTCAACCTACAAGACGTAACAAGAAGCTTGGATTTGTAACCACTTACATCCTATACGTAAACTTATGAGCTGATGGGAAAAGCACATCTAAGTTGACAAGTAAATATAAGTATGGACTTAAGAAAGTGGAATCTTTACAGTAATTTGAAGTCATAGGTGAGTGCCATAAGATGTCAGCCATATTTACAATAGATACACTGAACCCCAAAGTGATAACATTTTCAAGATTTCTGATTTTCTTCTAGTCCCCCACACACTTTATGAGAATTCGATGACGAACAAATCCAGAAAGAATTGTACTCTATTATTCTTACTGTTTTCAACTTATTTCCAAGTCGCCACATGGTTGGCATTCGAAGTCTATCATTAATAGCAAGACGTAAATTGGTGTTTTTCAATTCTAGTCTATGCAGCATAATAGTCAATATGCTACAGGATTGAAGCAGGATAAAGGTAGAGAAACCAGAGCTTTTTTTATGAGAATAATTAGCCAGCCGTGAGGAATTTCGACGTGATTTAAGAACTTAGAAAGTCCAACGAACTATCAGTGTTCACATAGACTATAAATTTATTTCTTAAGAGTGTTATCTTTAGAGATTGAGTTTCAATCCAGTTGGCCTCACGGTAATTTCTAAATAAGAACGAGAACTAATTCGAACTTGACAATACGGTCACTGCAGCATAAAATGTTTACACAATTATACCCAAAATGATGAAACTCAAGGAGAATACAAGAGTTAAGGAAAAGTTTGATATTTAAAAAAATTAGAGAAGTTAAGGTTAAGATGGAACACTTATTAATATGTAATGACTTTGGAACAAATAACAAAACTGTCAAACTAAAAGGGATAACAACCAGTCAGATATAAGAAAACCTTACTACGGAGAAATTCACTGAGAAATATTGGGAATATCCTTACTACCTAGAACTATCCCTTATCTGGTGTGATATTTAGTGATCAGTTGTGAAAAGTCATGAAACAAGATGTTTGCAGAGCTCAGTGATACAACTAAAGATTATCCAACTGATAAACACCTCAGTTTCAGTCGAAACTATTCAAGCCATGAACCGAGAACCTTTGTTACATTGATAAGTACGATAAACTTCATAGGTGTTATTTAATGTTATCAACAATTGGTTAGAGATTTTCGTTAGATTTTAAGAACAATCCTAATGGTTTTGAGTAATGTCAGTTAACAGAATATCAAGTGAACGAACTTAGATAAGCGCCACAGCTCTACTACACAGTGTATTTGGAAAATAGATAAATCTAACAATACGAAGTAGGAATGGATAGCAGGTAAGGAAATAACCCATATATATTATTGTGGGCACAGTAAGAACAGTAGAATTCCTTGTAATTTAAAATTTGATCATCATACGGAACCACTAAAAAGCAACGACAGATGATGTTGCATGTACGAACCATAAGTTTATAAACGTCTAACGTCTTCCTGGGAGGAATAGGATTGACTGGTTGACTTACGATATTTATTGCCATAATTATTTAGCAAACAATGATCGACTTGTTCAAATCATGTAGTTAACAAATTCGCCATAAGTTAATGATTAGAAACTGTAATTTCCTTAGGTTTTATGTAGTCTTACAAATGTTTCACTGAACGTAACTGAAGTTACATTTTCCGCGTGGGGTCGACGGATAAAAAACAATTATTTCGCTTCAATTAGGCTGAATATTCGTACACAACACAAACTAAACGTAACTAAGCACTTCGTTAAAAACAAACCTACATCCCTGTGCAAAGTGTGATTTAGTGATTAACACTTCCGAATTTCAGCCATTAATTAAGCAAGAGGTTCGAGCCCAATTCCCACCTGCCACTGTTTGGCCAATGGGGTATTATCACTAGTTCCTACACACTTAAAGTGTGCCTCCAAGCCAAGAGCATAAATCTGTATCCAGGAATGAGTTGGCAACGATCCTTTGCGGGGCTAACAAAAGAATAATATATCCAATTATTTAAAACTACAAAAAAAGCAACGATAATTAGAAAATTTGTCTTTTCTGATTATTCATTATTGGATTTTTCAATATTTTCATTACAGCACAAAGAATCTGGTAGTACAGACTCTGAATAACTTGCATGCCACTTATTAACTGGATAGGAAATAATCCATCGGTGGTTACATAATGCACAAGATAGATGAATATGCCGTTTTCTCACTCTTAATTTACCCCACAATTGTAATGGAACTAAACATTTAGTACATAATGATCGACGTATAGCAAAGGATAATCGTGTCTGCGATTTTTTACCAAGAATTTGTAGATTTTGTGAAGTTGTACGGCATAGCAATGCTGTAAATGCTTCATTTTGTAATGTTGGTTTTAAATTCATGAATAAAGATATTTGTTGATATAATAAATTCATATGATGATGAATAGGTGAAAAATGTGTGACATTATTGGTTGAATATTTTTTCTTTGTCATCGTTCAAGTGAACAGCTATAAAACGTATTTGAAGCTGACAACTGTCGATCTTCTGGTCAGTGATACGTTATCTAAAAATTGGTCAACAGAAAAACCAGTATGATCTAGATCTAATCACATAAAATTATTCAAAACGTTTGTGAATCAGAATATTTATTTACAGATAAAAGTTGCGCATAGAGCTAGCTTTATTTTTGTCAGTCAATCCAATCACGTTTGGTTTGTTTATCTTCTTCAAATAAGCTACTAGATGTCTGTATAATATTTTCTAAACAAATCATATTTTCATAGTTGAAATCATGAGTCAATTGAAACTAGGCCACCATGGAAAACCTGGACGGCCATTTTGTCCTATTGTGGAACTCCTCAGCAGTGCGCATCCACGATCCCACCCCGTGAGATTCGAACCCAGGACCTGCCAGCTTCGCGCCTGAGCACTTAGCCGATAGACCACTGAGCCGGCATCCAACGGTGTTAGTGTCTAACTTCAACTGATTCACGAAGTTGGGAAACCGTTCGTCATATTTGCTGAACTTTGTCGTAAGACGCTAAACGATAATAGGGAATAAGTTCGTTAATCAGGATTCTAAATTTTTGCCTCGATTCTGTTATTCTGATTGAAGCCTAGATTCCTCTTAGCCCTGAGCAATCATACGTTCTGACCGGCATAATTAACCTTGAGCTAACGTTAGTTATATTCTTGTAATTAACTTCCCCAAAAGCTTTCTTAACCACTATAATTGTGTCCGAAGAGAGTTATGCAATCCAGCTTTCCTTATTATTATATATTAATCGTCCAACCCAAAATCACTTATCTCAAACACTTATTAGATTATGTAGACAAATTATTAAACGGCGAAGCATATCAAACGAGAAATTGTACTTTAGAAAAACAGCCGCATCATAAATAGGAAGGAAACAAATGGTTTGTAGTTAGTCAGCAATAACTAAGGAATATTAAAACCCAAAACAATAGTTAACAGATTCGCTGGAAGCTTATGATAATGAGGATATAGAAATAAAATAATAGTTATCTAATAAAACAGTGAAAATACAAAACAATAATGATAATAACCACAAAAAGAGCTCCAAAGTCCCAAAATTTCTAATATTCGTTTTGTAATAACATTTGGTAATCGCTTTACAAACCAGAAGCTATTTTTAGGCTATCGCGGTGTTAAAATATCAAAAGCACGATTGTCCCTTAAGAATTTTCAGAGTTCATGTTCTTTGGATATCCACTCATTAGGATGCTATAATTTCGGTGTACATGCAACATCTCGCTGAGTGGGAATACAGTTGTATTATTTAAGTAATCGTGGACAAATATATTTAGTGTACTGAAAGTATACGAACTTTTACTAAAACACACTAGTCAGTCAGCTACAACGTAGGACCAGGTAATTTTTGTGTTAGCTCCGTACTTGTTGGGACCTTACCTCCGGAGACGGATATCCGCGGGAGAAGGCGAGGTGTGCATTTTCAAGTTCGACCGTTTCTAATTCCACCCCTTCCTGTGGGAAGGCAGCATCGCTGTTATGCTGGTTGCTTCAGGGAAAAACCCTACTGCCGTTACACCTCTGTACAGTCAGCAATACGACTTCGCCTTCGGAACTTGGGTTTGTTGCTTTTAGTCTTACCGCTCTTCAACCGACCTGTCTGGCATGGTAGGATCTTGAGGAACGATTTTTCCAGCCAATATAACTAGATTGGTTCATCACGATAGGCAAGCTCGACCACCACGTCAAGGTAGCAGGAACGGTCGGGAAACACACTAGTCATATCTATTGGTGAAATATCTGCGACTGTAGAACACCAGAACTAGTCGGAAAACACCATAAGTATTAAAAGTATATGATCATATTGTTGATCAAGACAAGCATCAAACAGATCATTAATTTGACACATAACAAAGTAACAAACGCGCCAATATTGAAAATGGTAAATTTAAGTAAATATAGTAATTTCCTCAAAATATGCTACCTTTTTTCTGAATATATTTGATGCTTCATACATAATAATCGTAGTGGTGCATAATCAGATAATTAATATCTGTGAGGATTGATATTCTAATTATGCTTAATTAGAGCGTGTTTATAAATAACTAGTAGTTGTATATTCTTACATGGAAACTTGAGTCGGTGTTGAAAAAAACACAAAATCACAGTTGCCTGTTTAATTGCTCCACTATATAAACTATATTACTATTGTTTATTCGAACACACAACATTGGTACAAAGGGGCGCCGAATACATATGCACTACATAAGTCACTTGATTTATGTGTGGGCTATGATATTGCCCAGGTACCCGAACCGAAGCAGGTGGTTTTCTTAGGGGGCCACACCCGGAGCCTTTGACCTAAAGGTCTTGTCCACAAGGCAGTAGAGCAATGTCAGGAGATGCAGTCTCATGGTAGCCAGTGACCAATAATAGGTTTATACGCCATTTGTTCGTTCAGGATGCTGGAACCCATGTGCATTATTAGTATGAAATTGTAGTTTTCCAACTCTCTTAGGTGGATCCTCTGTGTCTATCAACCTGGTTAAAACATCGGAAATTTGATTTCCGTCCTCTCAAGTTTGTAGACAACACCCTGTCCGCGAGAAGGTAGTGAGTAGGACTCTCCTGTCAGTGGTTGTATACGCGTTACATGTGAGAGCATTTCGAGAGGGAGAGCTGACTCCCCCCACCCTCGGCCGTACCAGGGAATTCGAAGGAATCACAAGAGATAAAGCGGACTCTCAACTCCAATTGAATTAAGCAATTATGGGAAGTTCACATTATAAAGTTTAAACCAAATACAGGAAAATGCCCAGGTCTGAATTTTCGTTCAAAATTTTCTAAGGTCTGTGACTTTCTGACAAGAAAAAACACATTTCCACTGATTCTGGAAAAATGTAAAGAGTTTATTCGGGAAACTTCCGGAGTTTTTACGCCAAATCTTCATTGTCAACACTCAATTTTCCCATTAGTTCCCACAGATACCATGTTTCTTTCACCATCTCCACCCTTACTATCTTGTGATTATCTATAAAAGTGTATTCAATATTGATCACTAGAATTCTGTATTATTACAAATAGAAGACTGATGTAGTATGACTTGTAATATTCAATTGATCAAACAAAAATTAAGAAAAATCCCTTTATGTGTTTACGAATAGGAGTTTAAAAAGGTCGGATAATGATTAATTTGATTTCGCTGCATCCATGGTATTCTGAAACCATAAAAGCGAATCAGAAGGTGAATCGATGATATTCAAAAATTATCAATATATCTCAAAATGAGTGAGTTTAAAATGGAGTATAATATACGTAACTAAACCATTAACTAGTCCCTTGGGTATGAGAAGCACATCATGAGTAAGGGCGATAACCACAGTATCAAGTCAAGTATGAAGAAAGGTACTAAACACGAATTGTGCCATGAGCAAAAACTAAGATGTCCATGAACAATTAATAGACAACTGCGATTTCATGAGGGTGTAAATGGTGGAAGAGGCATGATATCTGAGGAAAATATAGTCAATATATTGACAAAAAACTAAGGGTTAATTAAGGAGATTTGGAGTAAAAAACTAGAAGTGAGTAGAAACAAGAATATTCTTAAGTAAAGTTAAGGTATTTATCAAGATTATAGTTCATGGACAACTTTTGAACATCTTCAAAGTTAACATTAGAAATTTAGGATGAGCACCAAGCTTAAAATATTCATAAAGATGTGTAAGAAATTACTTTTAAACGTTCAAATAAGGAGTTAGGATTATTGCGAAACTATAATATAAGGACGAACCAACCGGATATAAGATAACAAGTCTTGGATTTTGACGCGAAATTCACCCATACATTAGGCTAGGTAGGGTGTCAGTTAGTGATGAGAACCCCGAATCAAATTGCTAACCCTAACTGTCAACTGTTACTCATAATTCTGATTCCTCACACTGGTTAATAACCCTCGTTTAGTCCTAGTTAGCAGGTGGACATACTCAAGGTCACTTTAGAGTCCCTCAAAGATTGTCAATAAATTTTAATATCACCGGAATTTTTATGACAAACAGACAACGCCTGTAGCGCGGGAGTGCTCGCCATCCATAAGGATGAATGATGGTATTGCTTAGATTCAATCAGCTCACCTTATATGTGATTGGCTCATCCACAAGCTATAGCATCGCAACGACACTTTGAAAAATGCGCCTAGCAGTCTTATTTAATTAGCGCGGTACTCACGTGTTTGATTACATATCATCGGAACATAATGCAACTTGATTTCGAGGGTTTTACATTAGTAAGGGCCGATAGAACACAAACGCGTAAAGGAGGGAGAGTAGCTCTATTAATTAGGAATGCTATTCCATTCACCATTATCGACAGTGTATCCCATGACAGTGGGACGTATGAATTAGTTTGCTGCCGCCTGAAATGCAGGGGACAAGAGTTACTACTTAGTTTGATCTATCGCAGTCCAAGCTGTGAGGTAAACGAGGTCCTGCTAAGCAGTCTGAACACTTTATCACGAAGTGATCGATGTCTAATCCTAGGGGACTTTAATGCACCCATGGTGGACTGGGGAAATCTACGGACTGAATCGTCAGCAAATTCCTTCGAACAGGAACTAGTTGATGCGGTAATCACATGTGCCCTAGTGCAACACGTGAAGGATGCAACTAGGTACGACCCGGGTTCTGCATCATCCTTACTAGATCTTATATTGACTCATTATGAGGATGATGTTGCAAACCTGGATTACATGCCACCCCTAGGCAAAAGTGATCATGCAGTTTTAAGCTTTGACTTCCATATAACTCGATCACGAGTACGCTTCAGCTCAATCCAGACCTAACGTCTGGAAAGCAAACATACAAGACATCATGCACTCAGCATCATCAGTAGATTGGAAAATAGGCCCAGAGTCATCAATCGAAACGGCTTGGGACGTATTCCGGAATTTATACTTAAAAGTTACCGCCCCCCCACATCCATTGGACTACATCTAAGAGACCG